CTCCTTCTGTAAAAATACTCCTTTTGTCACAAATTTTGCCGAGATTTCGTTATTTTTAGAAAAGTGAAGCCACACTTTGGATCGCCGACGTAAGGTATTCATGTTCGACTGGTTATACCAACACTTCCGGTAGACGCTTCTTCGTTGGTGTTGTTCAGCGGTTTCTTCTTCCGCTCGGCGGACTGTGAATATCGAAACTAGGAATCGAAATTTTTACTTTTGAACGATTCCGGGAAAAACGAAAAGTTAGTCTCGGTTCCAATCGATACTGGATTCTCGATGCCCAACCCTAAATATGATGGTTGGTGAGTGTGGTATTTGTCCTGCCCCTCTTCTACTGTGGGTGGCTGATTAATAGTGAAAAAGATGAGCACTGCATTTTAATAAAATTAATAACTAAATCCCTTTTTCACCTCAAATCTTTGGTTAAGCCGTCCCTTCCTTCCCTCTCCTGACAAGTCGCCACTGAACTCAAGAAACCTAAATAGCCAAATATGGTTCTAATGAACAAAAATTTGTTGACCCTAAAATGCTGCGAAAACCTCTGAAGAACGTTATATCGAAGGGTCAAGAAGGGGAAGTTCCTAAATCAACTTGCACTTTTATCATGCTTTATTCAGCATCAGCCTCTGATATACTCATGCATAATAGCAGCAGATGGTATGGAGGTATTACTCTAAGTTAGTCCTACCACAAGCCTTTCAGACCTCATTTATTCAATTATCCTTTAAGAATGCAGTCAGAAAAGGTTTCCTCCCCCACGACACTAATGCACCCCATACGCCTAATACCAAGCCACATTTGTTACTCTAAGGCTGGTTTAACAAAAAAGGAAAAGAAAAATTCTTACGTCAACTGCATATGAATTATATTCTAGGAGCATATGAACGGATGTGCTCCTGCCAATGTAAACCATTCCATCGATACATCTTTGTAAAGCTATAAAGAAGCCCCATGTGTGGAATTGATGAACGTTCCTGAGCATCGTATTTGCATGTCAGAGATAATCAAATGCATGAGAAAGCGTGTGACTGTAAACTCTGATGTGCCACAAGCTTTATTATAGGTAATAAAATGATGATATATTGGTCCTCTGTCTTTACAGTGAGATACAGCATTCGAGGGCCGGTGGTTCATATGCTGTAGAACCGCCTAATTCTTCTGATAAGTAAGCTTATCACACACTGCAGATGGGTACATTTAATTCGTGCCATGGAGAGTTTATTTTTACATATATTTCACTTTTCATTCTCTCTTAAATGCATTTCTGCAAGGTTAAGCAGAACTGTGCCTGGAAGCTATAAAGCGTTTCAGCCTGAAATGGATGTGAGTGAATGTTTATTTGGAGAAGGGGTTAAATGGGGTCACCTTAAGATTGGCGGAGCTCATTAATAGCACCACTGGTAGAGAATGGGATGTCCCATCTAAAGTACAGAAATGACTAAGGGGTGTATTTATAAGCCAACTGACCTTTATATCTATCGTCTCACCAGTATATTTGGATACCCGCTACAATTACCTAATTGCAGACAAAATCCAGTCAAGTGTGGGTACATAACAGCAAAGTAGATCTAATGTTTTACTATTTTAAACCCAACAAACTTCTTTTTTTGTGAATTGGTTTGGTTAAAAAGTATGCTTGTTCTACCTTTGTTATCTAATGCAATGGCCTTTATTTTTGTGTCCAAATGTTCCAAGTTCAATACTACTATTGTATTTTTCCAAATATAAAACATTGTTTTTTCTTGGAAATACATCTAAAAAATGGTGTTTTGTAGACTTTAACATGTCAATTATCCACCCGAAATTATAGGGAGCGCCAAATATGTGTAAAACAAGTGAATCCCCAAAACTGATAAACGCAGCGGTGTCAAACAACTCTCATTAAGCAGCCATGAAATATAGTATATCTGAGTGTAATGTTAGTAGATGGCGAGTAGAGGTCGACCGATTAATCGGTTTTGTCGATATATATTGGTACCGATAGTTGATTGGTGGAACTATCGTTATCGGCGAAAATCCACACCGATAGTTTTTCCGGGTTGCGTCCATTGCTTGAGTGGCTGAGAAGTGTACACGGTCATTACACAGCACGAGAGTGCTCTGAAGAGACTGCTGGCAGTATACAGTACAGAGCGAGAGCGGCCTCTAGAGGACAAATAACAAACTATCACTGGCTGAGTGAGTTGTTTACATTAACACGTGAGCCAGCGCACAAAACACGCAAGGATGCGCGTTTAACGGTATGAATACAGAACACTAAAGTACATATTGCCATATCATTATAAAGTAATTCATGTATTGACTAGATGCTGCATTAGCAGAGAAATAACAGCAGTGCGTTTGCTGTCGAGTCTGAGAGGAATAACATTAACGGCTACCTCAAACGATTAAAGAAATGTGACATAAAACATTTGGGTCATGTCTGCATGTGTTTTTGTCACTTATGCACTACCGGTCAAAAGTTTTAGATCAGTACGTTTTTTTATGTTTTTAAATGAAGTCTCTTCTGCTCACCAAGGCTGCTTTATTTGATGAAAAAAGAAAAACAGTAATATTGTGAAATATTATGACAATTTAAAATGACCGTTTTCTATTTTAATGTATTTTAAAATGTAATTTGAAAGCTGAATTTTCAACATCATTACTGTTGCTGATTACACATCAGTTTTCAGTGTCACATGATCCTTCAGAAATCATTCTAATATGCTGATTTTATGCTCAAAAAACATAAATTATTCTTTTCAATGTTGAAAACAGTCGTGTACCATTTTTCCCCCAAAATTCTATGATGAATAGAAAGTTCAAAAGAACAGCATTTATTTAAAATATAATCTTTTCTAACATTATAAATGTCTTTACTGTAACTTTTGATCAATTTAACTCATCCTTGATGAATAAAAGTATTTTCTATAATAAAAAATAAAACAATAAATTCTTACTGACCCCAAACTTTTGAATGGTAGTGATTACTGTTACAAAAGCTTTCCATTTCAGATCAATTCTGTTCTTTTGAACTTTCTATTCATCAAAGAATCCTGAAATAAAAATGTAAAAAACTGTTTTCAACATGGATAATAATCATAAATGTTTCTTGAGCATCATATTATAATAATTTCTGTAGGATCATGTGACACTGAAGACTGGAGTAATGATGCTGTAAATTCAGCTTTGATCACAGGAATAAATTACACTTCACTATATATTCACATAGAAAACCGCTGTTTTAAATTGTAATAATATTTCACAACATTACTGTTTTTTTTTTGTTTTTTTTTATCAAATAATTGCAGCCTTGGTGAGCAGAAGAGACTTCTTTTAAAAACATACAAAATCTTACCGATCTAAAACTTTTGACTGGTAGTATATGTCACTTATGTCATTTGTATGAAATGGCAACAATTTACCATAAGATTCAATTTCTAGCATTAACTAAGGTTAATAAGTGTTGTAGAAGTTTTATTCACTCTTTTTTTTATTTCAACATATAGTAGTACATTTTAAATTGAGTTTTAATTTGAATTTGATCTGTAAACTAACATGAACGATCAAGATACAATTATATTGCTCAAATAATAATGCGTGCAGTAAAACTGTATATTGAATATTGCATGCATAGTTCATGAAAGCTGTATTAAATCCCAGTTAAAAAATGGGTTACCTATGAAATTTTCAAGGTTATGGCTAAAAAAAGTTAATTCTGCATAAGTTCTCATTTTAATATATTCATTTTATATATTTATATAATTTAGCACATTTCAGTTCAGCACGGTTTTATTTGGTTTGTTTTTAATCCAATATACATTTTTAAAAATATCGGTTGAATAATCGGTTATCAGCATGCAGGGCAAACCTAAATATTGGTATCGGTAAAATCCACTATCGGTTGACCTCTAATGGCGAGACCAAAAAGGCCGTCTTAAAAATGCTAAGTCAAAGAAAACCATCACTTTCCTAAGAGGCCCATCATTTCTTATTTTTGCTATGTACTGACACACCTGCCCGTCAATGTCTTTGAAGTGGCTGCTTTGAATGCTGAATGATGTGGCGTAATTTATTAGCGCTTGCAATCCAACTACAGGGAGAAACTGCTGTCTTTTTAGCGCTATGTGATCGGCCTAAGGAAAGAGTTAGAAAGGTAATGCAGATTAAACACCTGTGTTTTTTGACATGCCAGCATCTGTCACGGTACATAATAAAGGTCATAGTGAAATCCACTAAATGAGAACTTCAGCTTATTTTTATGTTAGTGTTTTAAGGTTTAGTGTTTAGTGTAAAAGTGTATTTCTGAATGTGATTGTTGGTACATTTTACCATTCTTTAAATACAGAAATTAAATTTAAATCTGCAATATAAAAATATTTTCAAATAACGTACTTTCTTTAAAAGACATAATTTGGTCCTCAAAAAGCCTCTTCTCAAAAGTGGGGGTCATTTTAAATGACGAGGCACTAATATTCGAAGTAAATGGCAGCAATTTTTGGAGGATTTAAAGCAAAAATTTTCATGGCAATAAAGTTATAAAATTGGACTAATTTGGATATAACTAAGAAAGAAATGGTACGTGATTTACTCACAAAATCACGTTTTACAAAATCACGTTAATACGCATTGTCTACATCTTGTGACTATAGAATTGAAATAGTGAGTATTCAGCTTTACTTTTTTTTTAAACTGGAAATACATTTTTTTTCTTTTTTTTTTGGACAAAAATGCTGTTGAACGAGTAACTTGTATTGGACAAGTTCCTATATATTCCTTTAAGTCCAATGTTTTGTTTTTTTTTAATCAATCAATATTTTGTTTTGAGCTTTGCTTTTAATTTTGGAGAAAGGGAAGACCAGGCAAAAAGTAATGGGAGAAAGAGGGTTTAATCCTGATACTCCTTAAGCACAACAGTCTTTTTTGGGGGGTGCATGAGTACAATAATTTCAGTCTTTAAAGCTCTGTGAATTCCATGGCATTTAGCATAGTATAGAAAAGAATAATTAGCATCTAACCTTTGCTTTGAGCCCATGTGTAGCTGATTGGTGCACTCCTGGCCACTGGCAGCTGCTCTCCTCTTTCTATTACTGACTTCCTGTTATCTAGAATTGAATCCTTAATGGGACGAATATGCTTCGGCAGGGCTTTGTAGAACCAGGCTCCAGAACGTTTCCACACCTTTGAAGGGCAGGGAAAGGAAAACAAATTAAGCACAGCTTATTGTGGAGTGATTTAGAGCAGGTACTCAAAGGAACAAAGGAACCTCATGTGGCCAAAGAAATGGAGTTATGACAGAACGCTCATTTGGAGAGAATCGAGCACTGCTTTTAAACTTTATCTTACATTTAACCCAAAACATTACAGCTGTCTGTCCAGATAGCCAGCATGCTCTCAAAATCTGTGTAATGTTTTTTTAAATGTTAAAATACTGTTAAAAGATCTCTTATACCTGCTACATAATATTTAAAATATTTAAAAAAATTTAATAAAAATAAAATTGCATATTATATTATATTATATATTATATTATATGGGAGGCACCAAAATGAAAATTCTGAGTTGAAACTGAAAATTCTGTTTTTTAAAATTAAAATAAATTTTTTTCAAAATTAAACTATAGACTTTAATTAAATTCAATAATATTAAATGATACTGAATTTAAATATACACGCCAATAATATAAAATAACCGCACTTTTATTGAAAGTAACACTCAAATTGTGACAGAAAATATATTAATATTAAATATCAATACAGTACATTATTCTTTATTTAGTTCTATGCAACAATCAGATTAACAGATTTAGTTTTTGACTAATCCAAATATAGTGTCATTCCGCACGACTACGATTGTGATATTGCATCTATACAGCAGTTTGACGCCACAAGTTAGTAAATGTATAAGAAACAACAACAGTGTCTTTTGTGCCGAACTATACTTCCTTCCAAAGTAGAGTAGAGTATTGTGCGAGAGAGACCGACTAAAGGCCCGTTCACACCAAGAACGATAACTATAAAGATAACTAATATTAGCGTCCACACTAGCGGACTCCATCCTTCTGTCTATTCTAAGCGTATGTTTGTCTGTCACTTTAAATACTCTAGCTTGTGAGCGCAGGATGGATTCTGATTGGCTGTCAATATTTTAATCGTTCATCAACGCTTTCGTTTATATCTGTGGTGTGGACTATTTTTGAGAATGATTTTTAGAACTATATCTTTAAATGTTATCTTTATAGTTATCATCATTGGTGTGAACAGGCCTTAAAGGGATAGTTCACTTTGAAATTAATTTTGATATGTTTTAGCTTACTTCAAGGGCATCCAAGATGTAGGTGTCTTTGTTTCCACAGTATTTTCAATTTTGACATTTTTCAGTCAAACCGTTGTTGTCTATCAGTCATACACTGGAGGCTAAGGGGGTCCAACGAAAAGAATACACAGAGAAGTCAAAATTAAACATGATTTAATGATTCATACATGTAAGTACACATTGATGGCCTAAGACACGAAACGAGCGGTTTGTGTGAGAAAACGAACAGTATTTATATCGTTTTTACCTCTTGTAATCATAGCCATGACAAAATGATCTGACAGCACGGGCGCTTCGCTCTGCGCATGCGCCGGAAGTGATCGCTTGCGCGCCTACGTCACTCTTTGTTTATACAGAGATTTCGGAAGTTTTGCCTTGCACTAAACATATTTAGATATACCGAAATCGGTTTCCCGTATATCTAAATATGTTTAGTAAAAGGTAAAACTTTCGAAATCTCCGTGTAAATATTGAGTGACGTCACACGCAAGCGATCACTTCCGGCGTAATATTGAACTGATTCAGTTCGGTTCAGTTGGACATTGCACAACTGATTCAGATCACTTGGACGTCACTGTGATTACACGAGGTAAAAACGATATAAATGCTGTTCGTTTTCTCATAAAAACCGCTCGTTTTGTGTCTAGGCCATCAATGTGTACTTACATTTACGAGTCATTAAATCATGTTTAATTTTGACTTCTCTGTGCATGCTGTGTATGACTGATAGACAACAACGGTTTGACTGAAAAATGTCAAAATTGAAAATACTGTGGAAACAAAGACACCTACATCTTGGATGCCCTTGAGGTAAGCTAAAACATATCAAAAATTTATTTCAAAGTGAACTATCCCTTGAAGGAAGTGCATTACTTGCATCCCAGCAAACAAATTTATGTTCTGGGAACGTTAGTTTTTGGTTCCCAGAACGTTCCTAGAACTTTCCCTTAAGGTTAGGGGAACGTACCTTCTCCTTATGTTATAAAAATGGAACCTAAAAATAACCTACATGGAACGTTCCTATAACGTTCTTGTTTGGTTCCCCAAAAAAATCTCATGGGACCATTTGGGAACGTTAGGGGAACGTTCTGTGTTTGCTGGGATCTAGCTGATATTCTACAGGTCAATTATAAATCACAAAATCAGTTTGAATATCTGCTGAGGAAAACAATGTCTTTGTTCTTTTAACAGTTAAGAGGATTTCCCATGACAACGCTAGTCAAAGCATTTGTTAAGTTTCGTCTGGTGTGAGGACCCTATTGGAATTGCTTCGTTTATTGTTCTTCCTCAACTGCAATTTTTCTTTGTTTTGTTTTTTTATTACTGACTGCTATTTTAAATAATTACTTGGAAAAACGTTAAGCTATGGTTAGTTATATATATATGATAAATATGTGAAGGCTATATGGCATTGTGTTAATCTATTAATTTCTGTGGTATTAAATACAGGTACTACTGGAATTTTGCTCACAACACCACAAACCAGAACAATGGCCGACGGTGGCTGAGGGGAGTGGGTGGAGTATATTTGAAATCTTTCACTATCTTTTTTATATGACATTTTCATTTGGTGATTCAATAAAAGTCAAATCAAGAAGAATGAAAAATGGTTTTGCTCTTACATGTTCATTTCATACCACAGAAACCCAGCAGACAAGCAACTGCAGGACCATCATTTGTAAGGCAGTTGACACACACCAAAAATTCAAACAGTGCTTTCAAAACACATGACCCCCCCAGAAACAAGCACCACAATGCTCCAGAGGTGTTCTGAGCACATACAGTGACATAACAGAGACTGGTGCATGGCAGGCCAGGCCCTGTTGTAGCCAGGGAGAGACAATTAAGAAGTGATGGACAGCAGACTCGGAAATGTCAGGACTGACAGCGGCTGCTGGAGTCTTGGCAAACACCATCCCTCAGCTATACCTGCTCAGTTACAACTCCATTTGCACAACACTGGCCAGACAAAATCATAGTCAAATCTAGCTTGCAGGGTCAATCAATCATGTAAGAATATATAGCCTTGCTTGTTTTGCATTGGTCTTTCTTCACCTTTGGCAGTTTTTGATGTGCGTAACAATCATGCAAAGGAAATTAATGTTAAATATTCTTTGAGCATAGATGAAAGTTTTGTGTTTAGTGCAGAAGCCAAAGGCATGCAGGGAGCAAACGTTTTGTATTCCCCAGGGTACCAATTTGTGCTAGCCAGCAAGGGGGGAAAGTACATTTTAAACTACTACTGCAATCAGTTCATTCACATTGAAAAAAAACGTAGTCATTTGTGAACAGTCATTTTCACAGAACTGAGTTATTAGAGGGATATAACATGTAATTTAGAAAAACGATCCACTTGGAAAGACTGGAACGTCTGTTTTTGACCCCTTATGAGTGTATAGCCCCCTAGTTTTTATAGTAGCCTACAGAAGCAGAATCATGTTGCTGTGCTATCAGTGTGTAGGCTGTTTCTTGGTGAAAAAATGTATTGATACATTTTATACTTAGCACTAACCAGTGTTTTGTAAGTTACTCTGTTGAAGATGTTATTAGTAGCTAGTAATTAACTGCTTATTTAGTGTTACTAGATACCAATTACTCTCTCTAAAAACTACTGCATAACTTATTACTTTCTAAATCCCATATCAACCTTGACCAGTTGAACAAAACAAGGATAAATTAAACTGCTCTTTAATTCTTTCAAATAAATAATTTCAAAGCACACTATGCAGGAATTCCGTTTTTGTCAAACAGCACCCCTAGAGTCGCTGTGGAGTACTTGTATTTAATGTTACTGTCGTAAATACCACTCATGTACCGCTGGTGTCTGCTGCTATCAGTGTCATGGATAAATAGTGTCTCTTGTGGCAGCGCACACGCAATTTTCATGCAGATACGCTCTTCAATCTAGCAGTTGCGGAGACTCGATTCATTCCGGTGAAATCACAAAATAAAATGCACAAAAATGTGTCCTCTGATACGCTTGGCAAAAGATGTACCACTAGACCATTAAAGAACTCAAACAAAACTTGCAGATTGATGCATTTATTTACGGGTTGAGCAGAGAGGCTCATTCTCTTTTCCTTTTCTTAGTCTCTTCCGACCGCATTTTCTTTGTAGCACGCCTGAAATGCGCGCAAGTGTCTTAATGCTTTGTGTGTTGTTGTTGATGTGTGTGACGTCGTTGCCGCAAAGCATGCCATGATTCTTGCGAGATTTGCTTTACATTTGCGAGATTTGCCCCAAAAGCTTTACAACCAGGATGATTCCCCCTACTATGAGTTTGCTTACCACCAAAATGACTTTGAAGCTGTTATATTAAGGTACAATTGTTGCATAGTGTGTCTTAAAAATTGCAAAATTATTCTTGAACTGACCAATCTATTTAAATGAATTAGATATTAAATCCACTATTGTTTTATATATAATTGTTCTGAAGTCTAACAGTATTTACATCAGAAATAGCAACTTAAATTACAGAAAAATTACAAGTAATCTACTTATTCAAGGAAAAAGTTAAGTCAAGTATATTTATATAGCGCTTTTCACAAAATAGATTGCATCAAAGCAGCTTCAGAGTATCAATCAAAACATAATACCAATGTTCGTTTCTTAGTGGATAAACATCCACGTTTGGTAGAGCTGATCAAGGGTATTACTGATTGATTAATTAATTTGAATATTATTAATTAATTAGTTAATTACTTAGTAATGCATTACACCCAAGACTGGCAATTAGACATGCACTGATTGATTGGTTGGTGACCGGAATTGGCCTATTTTCACGTGATCAGCCATGATCGGCGCCCGGCCGTCATTCTGACATATGCCGATTTTATGCCGGTCAAAATCACTCATCAAATGCATGA